CACACTACAAAAGCTGTTGAAAAATTGGAGAGGGCTTTGACAAGTGACACAAGAATGATCGGAGGTCTGGAAAACCTGCCTTACAGTGAGGCGCTTAAGGGGCTCGGTCTATTTAGGTTATTGAAGACAAAGTTAAGAATCGACTTATAGAAGTCTGGAATTTCCCACGTTAAAAAATAAAGGGGAAAACAAAGACATTCCACTACTTGTTAGGCAGCACGAGAATGCTCTGTAAGCCCCACTATGTACAATCAGTAAGGTAGGAGTCCTTGCCTCATTCCATGCATCCCTTTCTATAGCATATGGAAGAAGATAGGACTCATTAGGACCCCTGCCTCTTTCCCTGTGCACCTTCACTAAGAGAAAGAGGCAGCACTGGCTAGAAGTTTCCTAAGTTGCATACACAGGCACAGACCCAAGAGTACACTGGCAGCCCATTACCAGATTTCATTACAAAGTCCATGGTGCATGCACACAAAGTACAGTTTTTATAACTTTGATTTAAATTGAAAATAAGAGCGAAGGTATCCACAGTGGCAATGGAGCTTTCAGGTTCTGCCGGAGGGAATGGCTTTGTGTTATAAACATCAGGTTTGAAATATTTTACTCGCTGTGGAGACATCTATTCGAATGTAAGCAGTAATGGCGCAGACCTTTATCCTCAAAGTAGCTACAGCGAGTTTCATATTGTTTACTTTGTGCTGTTCAGACCAGAGCTTAAAACCAGAAGCTCTGTTTTACGTGGCTGTTAGTGAGCTGGGGCTGCACGCTGTCAGAATGAAGTACTCAAAAGCAAGACAAACCCAAGTTGAGTTTTATGCACACAGTCTTAATGGCACTGGTGTGCACAGGCATTTCTAGACATATTCAATGATGTGATCAGACACTATTTCACAAGTAGTGCAAATATTAATAGTGTAAATACAATTTACAAAAAAACCCAATCTGTGTAGCATCTCTTACTATGGTGCAAGACTCTGTCACTACGCAGAGACGATAAACGCTATTTATGCAAGGCTTGAGCTGGCAAGGTGCTGAGCACTCTGGCTCCTTTCCAGCCACACTCTTAAGCACAGGCTTAACTTTAAGTATACGGGTAGTTCCCATTGACTTGCACCAGCATTCTATAACTCAAATAACTCCTATCTCAGTGGCCAGCCAGCTGGCTAGGCCAGGTAAGATGAGGTGAGTACAATAATTTACATTTGGGTGGGAAGGACCTACCTTGCCTTTTCCCTTTTTAATTTGATCTGGCTATCTTGCAAGCCATCGCCTTGTGCTCCTGCTGCTGGAAGAAGGGGGAAAGCAGGCAGGCATCTTACTCCTTTTCCCCCTCATAGGGCTACTGCCACATCCTACTGTTTCCATCAGCGAACAGTTTATTTTCTTGGTAGGACGATGGGGAGAGGTACTTACCCAGTTTAGGGCTTGAGCCTGCACCAATGAAGTCAATGGAATGTTGCCTTTGACTTCAGGAGGAACAGGATCAAGCTCTTAGCCATCTTTCCCCACATCAGCGTCCCCCCTAGTGCTAAGACTGACTTTCCTCAGATGTGCTAACTCTGGGAGACAGAAGCTTTTATTCTCCCTCTTCCCCAGTAAACAAAAATGACTTTTGACAGTGTAATGCTAAAACCTGTTGGTGGTTCAGAGTGGGCAGTTCCCTACCGGGATGAAACATAGCACTGACTTTTATTTTGAAAAACCTTCACAATGTTGACCAGTTCCAGTAAGACGGTCCATTTCTGTAGCACCTCCCATTTAAGGATTGCAGCATGATGTACAAACCTGAATGAATTTAGCCTTTTATACCTGGTTTCTCCAGGGGAGAGGCAGAAACTGAAGAACAGAGAAATTAAATTATTTGGCAAAAGTCACACAAGGAGTCAGTTGAAAAATATTGCTCAGAACTCCTGGGTGCCAGTCCCGTGCCCTGGACACAAAACATTCATCTGATAATTTACAGTTCTTAGTTCTTAATTCTAATATGTGTGTGTGAACGTTACAGCCAGCCCTTTAAACCAGTGAACTGTAAATCTAAATACAACTGAAGCGATGGCATTCAGTAGGGAACACAAGCCTGCTGTCTTCTGTGCACTAGGGGATGACAGTTAGCCCAAATGTTGTCTAAAAAAAGAACCTAAGCTCTCGTTTTCTTCTTATAGGAGAGACTCTTAAATCTCACCCTACTATACTCATCCCTGTATGGACTGAAGTTTCAGAATAGTTAGTATGGAAATATTGTTGTCAATGTTACAGCTAAAGTAGTGGTCTATAATTTACAAACATTAAGAGTTTAATTACAGAAAAGCTGCTCTCTGTTAACACTATCCCTCATTTTATGAAAAGAAGCTACAACACAGCTAGGTAATAAAGTTAATTTTCACACATTAATGAAGATTATTAACAAAGAATTCTAGTTCTTGCTCATTCTGGTTTTGATATATGGAGTTAAATAAAATTCTGCTGATCTCACAGCAAAATAATTTCCCCTTAATTTTGATAAGCATTAACAGCCATTTTATGTTTTAAAGAAGCCAGAATAAGATGACCAAACTATAAACAGCCTTTATTTGCCAAGTGGCTTAATATATTTTATTATATATTACTGATAGTTAATACTTTGTAAAGTAAAATTAAACATGCATTTGCATTTTGAAAATTACAGCTGTTTTTCTGGCCAGAAATCAGTTCAGTTTGCAGTGCACCATACAGGAATTCATCAGCACAAGATACATTTGAGAAACTGACTGGCACTTGGTGGACGCTCTCATTCAAACTTCTTTGGTAGTTAGAAAATATTATTAAACTATGGCCCCAAATTCTGACAAGCTCCAGGAATCAGGTGTGATAAGCCCACAAATGGGAAATGATACATTATGCAAAAAGAATATTAATATGCCATGTATTCTGCCTGAGGCTGGGTGAGGAGCTGCTCCTCTTGGGAGTATGAACAAACGTTGTGCAGCGTTGTTCGTGTGCCCAAGGAGGAGATTGCTGGGATAAGAAAGGGGTGCCAGTTTCCATCTCACAGCTGCTACTGGTTCTGCGTTTTCTGCTATATGTCTGCTAGTACCAGCCAGAAATTGACTCTATCAGGCAGATCCAGAATCTCCATGGGAATCATTACACTGAGCTAAATGGTTCTTGGCTCAGCTCCTGTGTGACTATGATTTACAGGTTGGGTCTACTCTTTTCAGACGTATTCTTTTACGGAATATTCACCCTAAACTTTTTGCACATAATTTACCATTAAAATGAGGTTCAGTAACTTACTGCCCAAAAAGAGCTTTCAGAAAATTCTGGTATAACTTGCACTGTTCTGGCGGTTAAAATCCCTCTTTCTCTAGGTATCTACAGCACCCCTATCACCATGATAGCTGAGATGCTCACCTCCTCCACAAGCGCCCAATTGCATTGCTTCCCTTTAGATCACTTCTTTTCAAAATGCAGCTACCGTTCCTCACCAGCACCCTGTGAAAGAGGGTTGGGTGCAATTGAAGCTGAACTCACTGAGAGGGATTAGTGGATAGAGGGCAGCCAAACAAAGCCAAAGGTGTAATGTAAATGTATTTTAGCATATGGTTTCACTGCTTAGTACATGGCTAGCATGGCACTTATCTAGAATATGTATTTAATATTCAGTACAAATTAGCAATACTTGCGACATGGCAGGCAGTGGATACCAAGGTGATTAATGCACCATTCAATAACCTCCCACTGAAGACCTACTACAGAGACCCACAAATATTTGCTGATTGTTCAGTTAATGCATTAACATGGGATAATATACTTTTACCGTTGAAAATGCCTGTATGCCTGTAATACTAAACAATGCCATTCATGTATTTCTAAGAGTTGCCCACCTCTACTACTGCCGCCTGGAGCTTTGCTTTTGTTGCTGAATTGATAGGGGAGGAGTAAACTGTGGTGCTGAAAAGTGACTATGTAAAATGGCTTCTCATTCAGCAGATCAACTCCTGGTGTGTATTGAGCCTTACCAGCTCGCATCAGTGACATTTTACTCCCGTGAACCGAACACGGCTAAGGGTGTGTTGTCGCTGCAGAGTTCACCCTGGCTCTTCCATGGGTTTTAGCACAACCCCTGTCACTGTCCACACACACAAACCTTTTACCTGGGTTTGGAGGTGCTTTAAACCTGGTCTAGCATCCCTGCTTGGATACAGATTAAAGCCCAGACTTCACTTAAACTTGGGCTGGAACCTGCCCCCTTTGCAGTGAGGACACAGGCTATGCTCCCAGCCACACATGGGCACGTGCGTAAGCAGAGGACACAACAACACCAGTAGGGCTTTGTAGTGAGGCCACCTGCAGTCAGGCTAAGCTGACCTAGGTGCTCAGACCTGGGTGCCTGGCCTAGCTGCAGTGAAGACATACTCTAGAAGGGTCTGAGCTGGATTCTGTTCTTCCCTGTGCATCAACAGATTTCTCTACTAAGTTCCAGTTAATTACAACTGTGAAAACCTAATGAAGGTGAGGAGGGGGCTACAGGTAATACTGAGAAGTTCATATGGAGTCAGTGAGGCTGTATGTAGGTGAAGGCCAACTTGCCCTGCATGGTGCTCATTACTGATGATGTATGAGAAGGAAAGAACCCAGCTTGACTCTCCAACCTCAGAATAGCAGGGCTGGTAGCTAGAAAAACATCCTTTCTAATTGCAAACTAAGCATATTTGAGCTGCAGTCCATTGAGGCACACTAAATGTGGGACACAATGATGCGAGTTTTACATTGTTCATCCCTTTTCAGAGTAGAACCAGCCTTTAAAGCAATCTCCCTAACAGGCATGGGACTGAACAGAGGCTGCAAAATCAGTTTTTTTCCAGGCCCCTTTATCCTCAGGAGATCGTGCAGGTTCTCAGGCGAGACCCCACCTCCCTGTGCCACATGATTATAGCTCAGTTGTTGATACTTACAAATAAGAAGCCAAAAAAGCTATATGCTTAAATGCTCTGCTCCCTTAAAACACTAGCGGAATGATGTCTTTATGTTTTCATTCACAGGAGGAAACAGAATGCCCGTCTTCGCTGTCTGTTATCAAAGACAGGACAAGAGGTGAAAACCTGGAGGAGCAATTCTTCCCACCTGATGACCTCTCTTCTGATGAAGAATATTATATAGACGAAAGCAGAGCATCCCGATTTAAAAAATCAGGCATGAGACGCATAGATAATATCAAAAAGGCATTTTCAAGGGAAAATATGCAGAAGACCAGACAAAATTTTGGCAAGAAGGTGAACAGGCTTCAAACTAGAATAGTGACACCCGAGAGGCGAGAGAGAATGAGGCAGTCAGGAGAGAGGCTGAAACAATCTGGGATAAGGCTCAAGAAAACTATTTCAAAAGCAGCTCCAACAAAGGAGACATTCAAGCTCAATAAGAAAGATAAAGAGCGAACAGTAGCTGAAGGGCAAGAAGGAATCCAGGAAGCTGGTGTGCATGCAGTTTCAGCGAGTGGGGCAGAAGAACCAGTTACAGAAGAGATTTCCTACACAGAAGTGATCACTAAAGTAAAGAAAGACAAAGGCAGTGGAACAAAAGGCACGTCCCAGCCAGCAGAGAAAGTTGTGCTCACCCCTGAAAAAATCGTTCTTAAACAGGAGGCAACAGAAGGAGGAGGTGATAATGTTCTTCTGTTGGACCTCAAGCACCCAGCATAATTGATCAAGTAGTATATACTGTGTTATTGTACAAGAGAAAACATAGTTAGTATCTGTTCACTTGGGCAGATTGAGAGGTGTGTGTAACTTTTTATTGTTATAGCAGAAAAATATATCGGTGCTGTTCTAGTATTTATATGTATAGCAGACAATGTGTTTGTTGCCTTTTTATTACTACGCAAAGTCACATAAACAGAATGAAGGGTCTCATCTCTCTTGACGTGTACATATAACTTCAATTAATGTGAATGGGAGTTACAATTGCACATCACAAGGAGATGGAAACTTCCTGTATATTTAAAACAAAAATATAAGGCACTTAATAGCCTTGTTGCTATCTTTAGTTTTATGCACAGAGGCATCCAAAGAACATCTCCATTTATCCATGCCAACATCAAAAAGCAAACAAGCAACTGAGATAGATGTATTACTTTATATTGGCGGAAGGGAAGACTACAAGAATTGCTATAAGACTCTTTTTGGACCGCCCACTCAAATAGCAGGATGAGGAAATTATTGCTTTGGAGACAATAAAAAGCAGCAGAGACAATAGATCTTTGAGAACTGTTATCTGAAGTGACTAACAGGGATTTCTAGCATTTTGAAAGGGGAGATTGATGAAGTTGAGAGATGCACTTTCTGAAGCAGCAGCAGGTTAAAAACTATAGGACAAATTAAACACTGGAAAAATCTGGAGGCAAAGGAGAACTCTGATAGAATATCTGTATTATGCAAAGGTCAGTGCAAGTGTCAATTGGTACTGAGGAAGGCGATGGTATAAATTAGTAGTAAGGGAATCAACATTAATATATGGGGACTGAGGAATAGAGTTAAAAATAAGAATGTGGGACTAAAGTGAACTTTGAGAAGGGCAGGCCCATTTGCCTTTTCTGTGCAAGAACTGATGAATAGTTGTTCCTCTACTCCAGTCATACAAAACTGAAAACAGTTTCTGAATTCATTGCCACCGACAGAGCAGAGGAAAAACAGATTGTTGTTTCTTTTTTTCTTAAGGTAGCTGCTGAGATAAAAGGACCGCTGTGTTTTCTGCTCTCGGCATTTTGCTGGGGTTCTAAACAATTAAAATCAATTCCATAAAAAGCTATTGACACGCAGGCCAATCCATATCCAGTTCTTTGTTTCCTTTTCATCATCACTATCGACCAGTCACAGCCACAGAGCGTGCAAGCCAGACACAGTCTTTAAGAGTATGAAACGCAGTGTTTGTAGCACTAAGGAGGGAGGAATCCATGCCCTGAAATGAGGTATGTTAGTAAACATAGCCATTGTACTGGCAGAATAAGCAGGGTTTAATGGGCCTCTTCTGTTTAAGTTTACTTGATGTCTCCTTAGTACTTACATAAAATTAGATCTCAGAGTGAGGCATTGATATTTGTACAAGATTGACAACAGCTATGAGTTTATTTACTGTCCAAGATTCTATTTTGACAAACATTGCCCCAGGACCCATGGCTAACTGGTCAAGCTGTCATTCAAACCCAGTTAGGTTTGATTTCCGATACTTTGCCTGCCAGTCCTGTGATTCAGTCCCTGGTACCTAGAATCTGAATTTTATGAATTAGGAATTAGCTATGGCAACTATGGAACACTTTAATGATATACTATATAAATGGCACGGCAAAGCTTTCAAATTGGATTCGTGGTGCCGGTTTGGGATGAATGAAGTCATGAGGCACTGTAAGCGAGACTGATGTTTGCATAACGTCTATTGTAAATATATTCAATACTGTAATAAATAACTGTTAAAAAGAAAAAAACCCCAAAGATTCCTCAGTGCATATGGAAGGAGCTTTTGAAAGTTTAGCTGGCAAGCTATGTAACTGTGTAATATTTTTCTTGTTCTTTATATCATTGTAGCCATCTTCCCTTGCACAGATGGTAATGGTGACTGTTTATGATGTTACATAGTCCATGTTCTATTTTGCGTGAGTTGATGTTATCCTACAATAAAAAGCCCTAATAGAGACTCAGTCTGTTTCTTAAATACATATTTAAAGCTATCAAATAAAGCTGTTTTACTGCAATGTACAAATTGTTAAACTTGCAGTAGTTTGCAGGATACTATGTGCTAACGAATGGGCCTCTATTTAAAAAAAA